AGCCTGTTCATTCTTGACTTCCTCTCTAAGAAAGTGGCTACTGTGTTTATTTTTCTAAAGGCCTAAATTCAAAATTCAAAGACATGATGTTTGCAAAATACTTTTTGAAGCCAAATAATGTATGTATTATGAGTTTCTAGGGTCTAGAAATTCATTTTAAATTTATATCATTTATGCTTGGTTTACTAAACTTAAAGGAAAATGTTCTGAAAAACCATCACTTTCTTTCCATTCTATGACTTATTAAAAAAAATTTATTGAATTTATTGGGGTGACATCGGTCCATAAATGGTTTTGGGAAAATTGGAGCGATACAAGCAAAAAAAAGAAAAAGAAATTGAACCACCATCTTACACCAAAACCTACACATTGCTCATTGCAGTGATTAAAGTCTTAAATGTAAAATTTGAAGTCACAAAAGTCCTAGAAGAAATCATAGGCAGCCAAATCTCAGACGTTTCACATAGCCATATACTTGCTGATATATCTCTCTGAGCAATGGAAACAAAAGAAAAAATAAACAAATAGAACTACGTCAAAATAAAAAGTTTTGCACAGCATAATCATAATTTTCATTGGCCTAATTATGTCCATTAACCTTCAAAGGTGGATGGGAAAGAACTTTAAGATATAGAAGCTTAACTCTTACCAAAAAAAAAATAAAAAAATGCTTTATCTTCTCTATTCAATCCTGCATATGAATTTATGAAGCTTTTCAGTCTCAACTGAGTTATAAACAATCACTGCATTAGAGATCCATTGTTTTCTCTTTATTCAGATCTCTCCTGTGGCAGGCCTCCCACAGTGCAAAATGCCATTATACCAAACCAGAAGCCTAGGTATCAACATGGGGACACAGCACGTTATGAATGCAGGCACCCTTTGGGCCTCTTTGGGAAAGCAGTGGTGACCTGCTTCAGTGGGAAGTGGACAGACCCACCTGAGTGCAAGGGTAGGCGTCTCATTCTCCCCTCCCAGTCTCTGTGCAGCTTCTATAAGCACTTGGTTACTAGACTCCTGTCCAGCTGGCCTTCATTGGTTACTCAGGTTTGTTGCTCTATCGTTTCCTGTAAATCGGTTTGGGGCCGGGAGGAGGTGAGTGTAGCTCCCACCTACTCCGCAGCTCTCTTAAAATCAACTGCTCACTCAATAAACCAACAATATCCTCTCTTAGAGTCCACAGGACAATGTAAGCCCCCTCTTGCTATTGACAATGGAGACGTTACCACGTATCCATTAGCAGTCTACGCTCCCGGGTCTTCAGTGGAGTATCAATGCCAAGCCTACTATCAACTTAAGGGAAACAGGAGAATAATGTGCAGTGATGGACAGTGGTCTGAACCACCCAAATGCTTAGATAAGTCCTTTAATATTCCTGTGGACTCAGAAAATCAGTTTTACTGTTTATGATAAAATTTTGATTAATTAATAAATAATTATAGCCCTCACCGGTTTGGTTCAGTGAAAGAGCTTTGTCTGAGACTGAAGGATTCCAGAACTGATTCTGGTCAAGGACACATGCACGGGTTGCAGGCTCCATCCCCAGTGTGGGGCGTGCTGGAGGCAGCCAATCAATGATTCCCTCTTATCATTGATGTTTCTATCTCTCAATCCCGCTCCCTTCCTCACTAAAATCAGTAAAAACATAGTCAATTGAATGTGTTTGATGTAATTATGGGAAACAAATTTGGACAGAACCAAAAAATATATGTACATAGTGTCTGGGGCCCGTGTGGACAAATAAGAAATTGGATGTAAGAAGTTTGGTCTGGATCATGACCTGTATGCCCATCTCCTCAGGCTTTCAATTCCACCGTCCCCACGTGACACCTTTAATAAATGTAAAATTTTTCAATGTAGTTGAGTCAAGATGGTGAACAAGTTTTAAGAAAAACATTTTTATAACATTTTCAAGTTATAAGAAAGACATTGTACAGTAGGCTTTAGTTTGGTGTGTATCTATTATTCTAGAGTATAATTATTGGCCGACATGTTAAAGATTTACTGAAAAGTTTATGTTCTGCCTTTTCAGCAATGACTTGTCCTAGCCCACCCAGCTATGACAACGCCATCCTCCTGGGCCAGCCGAAGAACTCATACAAGTCAGGAGAACAAGTGGCTTATGGATGTCCAGAACATTACCAAATGTATGGATCCAATGTTGTAGAGTGTAGGGCCGGCACTTGGATAGGAACCCCCACATGCAAAGGTATTTTGGTGAATGGCTTCTCCCATCATTAAAATTAGACGCAGGTTCTGGTGAGGCCACATGAAGGAAGGTTTATGCCTCAGCACAGAGCAGTGGTTCCCAAACTTATTTGGCCTACCGCCCCCTTTCCAGAAAAAATATTAGTCAGTGCCCCTGGAAATTAATTTTTTTAAATTTTAATAGCAATTAAACAGAAAGATATATGCCCCCAAATGCACCTGTGGCCATCACCGCCCCCCTGGATCGCTGCAGCGCCCACCAGGGGGCGGTAGCACCCACTTTGGGAATCACTGGCATAGAGGAATGGGATGTGCACTCAGTGCTGGGCATTGGAACCCCAGAGCCCTCAGAGTGTGACCCCGGAAACAGCCCTGTCAGTTTGGCTGGGGAATCGGTAGGAAGGCAAATGCAAACTCACAGGCTCACTCTGACTCAGCATCAGAAGCTCAGGGGTTGTGACCTTGAAACTGTTGTAGCAATTCCCAGCGGTTCTGCGCCCACTTTTGTGGGGAACCATAGCTTCAGCCTCTTACTACTGAGTCTCCCCAGTGAACCTCACAGTGCTCACTGCAGTGCCCTTAAGCACTCACATTAGTGAAGTGTATTTTGATGACATTATAAATTCATTGTTCTACTTCCCATAATTTCATTTGGATTTTTTTTTAACTTTATTGAAAACGGTATTACAGAAGTCCACTTCCCCCCCATTGCCCCTTCTAGCCTGGCCCTGGTACCCGCCCCAGTCTTCACCCCCCTGTTGCCTGTGTCCATGGGTTATGCATGAATGCATACAAGGTCTTTGATTATTCTCTTTCCCCCCCCCCCCATCCTCCCTCACCTTCCCTCTGAGATTCCACAGTCTGTTTCTGTTTGAATCTTTTAAGTGATCATTTTGTCCCTTCAACCAACCATGTGATATCCCTCAAAGCCTGTTCATTCTTGACTTCCTCTCTAAGAAAGTGGCTACTGTGCCTATTTTTCTAAAGGCCTAAATTCAAAATTCAAAGACATGATGTTTGCAAAATACTTTTTGAAGCCAAATAATGTATGTATTATGAGTTTCTAGGGTCTAGAAATTCATTTTAAATTTATATCATTTTTGCTTGGTTTACTAAACTTAAAGGAAAATATCCAGAAAAACCATCACTTTCTTTTGAATCTATGACATTTTTTTAAAAAATTTATTGAATTTATTGGAATGACATTGGTCCATAAATGGTGTTGGGAAAATTGGACAGATACAAGCAAAAAAAAAAAAAAATGAAATTGGACCACCATCTTACACCAAAAACTACACATTGCTCATTGCAGTGATTAAAGTCTTAAATGTAAAATTTGAAGTCATAAAAATCCTAGAAGAAATCATAGGCAGTCAAATCTCAGACATTTCACATAGCCATATACTTGCTGATATAACTCCCCGAGCAATGGAAACAAAAGAAAAAAGTAAACAAATGAACTACGTCAAAATAAAAAGGTTTGCACAGCAAAATCATCATTTTCATTGGCCTAATTATGTCCATTAACCTTCAAGAGAGGATGGGAAAGAACTTTAAGATATAGAAGCTTAACTCTTACCAAAAAAAGTTTAAAAAAATGCTTTATCTTCTCTATTCAATCTTGCATATGAATTTATGAAGCTTTTCAGTCTCAGACTGAGTTGTAAACAATCACTGCATTAGAGATCCATTTGTTTCTCTTTATTCAGATCTCTCCTGTGGCAGCCCTCCCACAGTGCAAAATGCCTTCATACCAAACCAGAAGGATAGGTATCGACATGGGGACACAGCACAGTATGAATGCAGGCACCCTTTGGGCCTCTTCGGGAAAGCAGTGGTGACATGTCTAAGTGGGAAGTGGACAGACCCACCTGAGTGCAAGGGTAGGTGTCTCATTCTCCCCTCCCAGTCTCTGTGCAGCTTCTGTAAGCACTTGGTTACTAGACTCCTGTCCAGCTGGCCTTCATTTGGTTACTCAGGTTGGTTGCTCTATCGTTTCCTGTAAATCGGTTTGGGGCCGGGAGGAGGTGAGTGTAGCTCCCACCTACTCCGCAGCTCCTTTAAAATCAACTGCTCACTCAATAAACCAACAATATCCTCTCTTAGATTCCACAGGAAAATGTAAGGCCCCTCCTGCTATTGACAATGGAGACATTACCACATATATGTCACCATTCTATGCTTCGGGGTCTTCAGTGGAGTATCAATGCCAGGCCTACTATGAACTTGAGGGAAACAGGAGAATAAGTTGCCGTGATGGACAGTGGTCTGAGCCACCCAAATGCTTAGGTAAGTCCTTTAATATCCTTGTGGACTCTGAGAAAATCAGTTTTAATGTTTATGATAAAATTTTGATGAATTATTAAACAATTCTAGCCCTAACCAGTTTGGTTCAGTGGAAGAGCTTTGTCTGAGACTGAAGGGTTCCAGAACTGATTCTGGTCAAGGGCACATGCACAGGTTGCAGGCTCCATCCCCAGTGAGGGGCGTGCTGGAGGCAGCCAATCAGTGATTCCCTCTCATCATTGATGTTTCTATCTCTCAATCCCGCTCCCTTCCTCACTAAAATCAGTAAAAACATAGTCAATTGAATGTGTTTGATGTAATTATGGGAAACAAATTTGGACAGAACCAAAAAATATATGTACATAGTGTCTGGGGCCCATGTGGACAAATAAGAATTTGGATGTAAGAAGTTTGGTCTGGATCATGACCTGTATGCCCATCTCCTCAGGCTTTCAATTCCACTGTCCCCACGTGACACCTTTAATAAATGTAAAATTATTAAATGTAATTGAGTCAAGATGGTGAACAAGTTTTAAGAAAAACATTTTTTATAACATTTTCAAGTTATAAGGAAGACATGGTACTGTAGGCTTTAGTTTGGTGTGTATCTATTATTCTAGAGTATAATTATTGGCCGACATGTTAAAGATTTACTGAAAAGTCTATGTTCTTGCCTTTTCAGCAATGACTTGTCCTAGCCCACCCAGCTATGGCAACGCCATCCTCCTGGGCCAGCCGAAGAACTCATACAAGTCAGGAGAACACGTGGCTTACAGTTGTCCAGACTACTACCAAATGTTTGGATCCAATGTTGTAGAATGTAGGCACGGCACTTGGATAGGAACACCCACATGCAAAGGTATTTTGGTGAATGGCTTCTGGCTTCATTAAAAAATAGACACAGGTTCTGTTGAGGCCACATGAACGAAGGTTTATGCCTCACAGAGAGGAATGGGATGTGCACTCAGTGCTGGGAATTGGGGCCCCAGAGCCCTCAGAGTGTGACCCCGGAAACAACCGTGTCAGTGTCTCTGGGGAATCGGTAGGAAGGCAAATGCAAACTCACAGGCTCACTCTGACTCAGCATCAGAAGCTCAGGGGTTGTGACCCTGAAACCGTTGTAGCAATTCCCAGCGGGCTCTACGCCCATTTTGTGGGGAACCATAGCTTCAGCCTCTTATTACTTTATATCCACCCGAGTCTCCCCAATGAACTGCACAGTGCTCACTGCAGTGCCCTTAAGCACTCACATTAGTGAAGTGTATTTTGATGAAATTATAAATTCATTATTCTAGTTTCCATAATTTCTGTTTGGATATTTTTTTAATCTTTCTTGTAGAAAGTATTTCAGAAGTCCACTTTCCCCCCCATTGCCCCTTCTAGCCTGGCCCTGGTACCCTCCCCAGTCTTCACCCCCCTGTTGCCTGTGTCCATGGGTTATGCATGAATGCATACAAGGTCTTTGATTATTCTCTTCCTCCCCAGCCCCCCCCCCCCTTATTCTCCCTCACCTTCCCTCTGAGATTCCACAGTCTGTTTCTGTTTGGATCTTTTAAGTGATCATTTTGTTCCTTCAACCAACCATCTGATATCCCTCAAAGCCTGTTCATTCTTGACTTACTCTCTAAGAAAGTGGCTACTGTACCTATTTTTCTAAAGGCCTAAATTCAAAATTCAAAGACATGATGTTTGCAAAATACTTTTTGAAGCCAAATAATGTATGTATTATGAGTTTCTAGGGTCTAGAAATTCATTTTAAATTTATGTCATTTATGCTTGGTTTACTAAACTTAAAGGAAAATATTTAGAAAAACCTTCACTTTCTTTCCATTCTATGACTTTTTTAAAAAAAATTTATTGAATTTATTGGGGTGACATTGGTCCAAAAATGGTGTTGGGGAAATTGGACAGATACAAGCAAAAAAAAAACAAATGAAATTGACCCACCATCTTACACCAAAAACTACACATTGCTCATTGCAGTGATTAAAGTCTTAAATGTAAAATTTGAAGTCATAAAAGTCCTAGAAGAAATAATAGGCAGTCTAATCTCAGACATTTCACATAGCCATATACTTGCTGATATATCTCTCTGAGCAATGGAAACAAAAGAAAAAAGTAAACAAATAGAACTACGTCAAAGTAAAAAGTTTTGCACAGCATAATCATCATTTTCATTGGCCCCTTTATGTCCATTAACCTTCAAGAGAGGATGGGAAAGAACTTTAAGATATAGAAGCTTAACTCTAGCCAAAAAAGTTTAAAAAATGCTTTATCTTCTCTATTCAATCTTGCATATGAATTTATGAAGCTTTTCAGTCTCAACTGAGTTGTAAACAATCACTGAATTAGAGATCCATTTGTTTTTCTTTATTCAGATCTCTCCTGTGGCAGGCCTCCCACAGTGCAAAGTGGCATTATACCAAACCAGAAGCCTAGGTATCGACATGGGGACACAGCACGTTATGAATGCAGGCACCCTTTGGGCCTCTTTGGGAAAGCAGTGGTGAAATGCTTACGTGGGAAGTGGACAGACCCACCTGAGTGCAAGGGTAGGTGTCTCATTCTCCCCTCCCAGTCTCTGTGCAGCTTCTGTAAGCACTTGGTTACTAGACTCCTGTCCAGCTGGCCTTCATTTGGTTACTCAGGTTGGTTGCTCTATCGATTCCTGTAAATCGGTTTGGGGCCAGTAGGAGGTGAGTGTAGCTCCCACCTGCTCCACAGCGCCCTTAAAATCAACTGCTCACTCAATAAACCAACAATATCCTCTCTCAGAGTCCACAGGACAATGTGGGCCCCCTCCTGCTATTGACAATGGAGACATTACCACATATATATCACCATTCTACGCTTCGGGGTCTTCAGTGGAGTATCAATGCCAGGCCTACTATCAACTTGAGGGAAACAGGAGAATAACGTGCCGTGATGGACAGTGGTCTGAGCCACCCAAATGCTTAAGTAAGTCCTTTAATATACTCGTGGACCCTGGGAAATCCGTGTAATGAATGTCATGTTTGCTGTTTACAACAGAACTTACATGGACTATCACCCCTTCTGTTGACAACCAAATAGTCATATCTGAGGGTATAAAGTCTGAAAAATTCTTGAGCATCAACAGCAAGAAACTATCGTTTTTCTTTAATTTATTTTCCCCATCACCACTTATGCCCCCTGCACCCTCATCCACCTCCACCACCCTCTTCAAGGATTCTTTAATGAAAGCCCTTCATAGAGTAGGTGACATTGTGAATGTTGATTATAACGTGCAATGACCACATATTTCCCTCGTTTTTACATCATTGATAGTTTAAAATGAGTTATACCAACATGATAAATTTTCAATGAATTGTTTTGGAAAAGGGTTTGAGAGTAAATTCCTGGATCTGTGTAGAATATTCTACATAAAAGTGTAAAATTCTATGAAAATATTTGTATATTACTTAAAGTTTTATGTTCCTTTTTTTAAACTTTCAGATGCATGTGTAATATCAGAAGAAATCATGAAAGAACATAACATACAGTTGAAATGGTCATATGCAAAAAAAATTTATTCCGGAACAAATGATTATGTTGAATTTGTGTGTCGACCTCCCTATCGTAGAGTGTCACCAGCATCTGCATTCCGAGCACAATGTCTAGAAGGAAAAATGGAGTTTCCCACTTGTGCATAATGAGAGCTGTGTGGCAGTTTTCACATTAAAATATGTGCCTTCATTCAGAATTTTTAATATTAATCTAATCCTTCTCAATTTATTTTTCTAGTTGGGTGTAACTCACTTTTATTCATTAATCACAATTCCTTTTAAATGCCATGTGGATGATGTCATTGTAATCTGAGACCAACAGACCACTTCTCATAAGCATCTCATTAAAATGTGACAAAGCAACATCATATGTGTCCTGTTCATGAAAAGTCATTGGCCAGAAAGTAGATGCCATCTCTCCCCTCCCTGCTTCCCCCACCACCCTCCCAACTTTCTCAAAGCTTCTCCACAGCTGTGGGGGTGTTTTGAGACTCTAATTTCAGAGGAAAAGATAAATATTTGTCTCCATCTTCACCTTAAAATCACTTCACAAACATGTCAAAACCAAACTTTGTCACACCCATGTTGGCAACAGATGGTAGAGGTTATTACTTGGTTTTGCTTATCTATCCATGGCTTACTACACCCCCAAAATGATGAAATGCAACATCTACTATCCATCTAGCACCTACAATCATTCAAACCGCTCATGAAAAGGTATTAGATTCTAATCAGGGGCCTAGCTATTGTAACAAGGACTTAAAAACTGATAAAATATTGAGTATAAGCACATAGAACACATTCACCCAGCATATTATCAAAAGTGAGCCAATGGTTACAGAACAGAGACTGGCAGGAAGCACAATGAAACACCTACCATAACTACAGTCCATTTAGATCTAATAGGCGTGGCCATTGGGGTTCAATTCCTATATCCTCCCATTCTCTATCTTTAACATATATCATCTTTGAGCCACAAGAATATGTTAATTTAAATTTAATACATACAAAAAGTAAGACAATACATGCTGAGAAGTATAAAGAACTCTTTCATGATGATGTGGGCGGATGGTCGGGGTAAACTGCCAGAAGTGAAATTCATGGATCATCAAGCAATTCCATAGGCATTTCTACTTCTTTGCACAGGGGCTGTGGTCAGCCTGTTAGAGGATGGTTTCCCTCTTTGGTAGATAAAACATGGGACCTCGGTGTAATTTAAGGTGCATTTGTTAGGAAAGTGCTTCTTTCCATTGAAGATATTTAAGGACTCTTTCTTTTGGGTTTTTCTCTTAACTTTCTCATTAAGATACCTGTCTCTTTTCCTATTATTTTTCTTTGTTTAGAAATGATACCATCATCACTTTTAATTTCACTCTTCTGTCATAGAAATGAAAGTATTTTCTAAGTCATTAACTGATTTCCGAGCTCATGTTAATTTTTCTAGGCAGACCTTTTTAAATTGTATGTTCTTATAATTATTACTCATTATGTGCTTACTCTGTGTGTGGGTGTGTATTTCCGGAATCCCTTCTCCCCATTGGTTAATGTGTTTATTATTACGACACTTCCACACCAGAGAATATTTATTATGGATTTAGATCAGCAGTGGGCAAACTACGGCCCACGGGCCAGATCCGGCCCATTTGAAATGAGTAAAACTAAAAAAAAAAAAAAAGACCGTACCCTTTTATGTAATGATGTTTACTTTGAATTTATATTAGTTCACACAAACACTCCATCCATGCTTTTGTTCCGGCCCTCCGGTCCAGTTTAAGAACCCATTGTGGCCCTCGAGTCAAAAAGTTTGCCCACCCCTGATTTAGATACTTAAAAATGAAACTTTCCAATTTAGTTCTTTTTAAACATGAATTTTAGAATCATGTTGTCAATGGCATTTAATTTTGGTTAAATAAGAAAATTTTTCTTGGATCAAATTGAAAGCATGACTTAATTGTGAAGAACAGACATCTTAATGATAGTAAGTCTTCAATCCACAAACATAGACTTTTTCATTTCTTTGAAATTTTTTTCTCCATCTGTTTTGAAATTTGCAGTGTAGCAATCTTACCAACATTTTGTTGGCATTTTCCTTCATATTTTAAGTTTTTTAATGTTTGTAAATGATAGTGTTCTTTTTTAACATGTCATTTTCTAATGTTTGCTTTTAATATTTAAAAAATGCATGTGTGTATTAGTTCTAGGAGCTCTTTTTGTGGAATTTTAAAGGTTTTCTACAAATTTATATTTCATTCTTTCCTTACAGTATTCATGCAGTTTTCCCCCTTGCCTTGGTCTCTGGTGTTTCTCTTTTGAATATTATTTTTTTTAATATTACCATAACCACTCACCTTACACAGACTTTGTTCTTACAAAGTTTACATTTTCCAGTGTTTTGCTTTCAACTAGTCACTTTAAAAATATATTATTTTTTTAGTTCAGTGAGGAAGGGAAAAGGAAAGAGATATAGAAGAATCAATGATGAGTGCTAATAAATTAAATATATTTTAAGTGTTCGTGTCCCCTTCTGCAGGACATTACAGCAAACCCAGTAAGTCCAGGACTGGAAATCAAAGTTAATATACCCAAGTCAGAATAGTCTAGAAATAGCTCCAAACTAGGTTATATAGAAAGGAAAATATTAAATTTAAAAAAATTTCTAAATCTGAAGTTGAAATGATTGAGTAGATAGACAAGTCTAACACATGTCTCCCAGCACAAGCAAGACCTGCTCCCACAACCTTGAATAGAAAGCAGTCTTCATTATCTGGGGACATCAAATCAGTTTGCTGAAGGAGCTAAGACTGTGTTTGAGTCTTGGAATTGAAATATGCAGAGAGCATTTAAGATCATCAAAGGCAACCTCCAACGTCGTGTAAAAAATTACACAGACATATGGTCTATTAAAGCAAGGAGGTAAATTTTGCTTGGAGTAGTTCAGACAGATCTGAAAAAGTGTTTTGACGGTATGTAGAACCCACATAATATATACTTTTGGATGTAAACAGCATCTGAATGTACTGAGAAACATTTGAAAATTTTTGGATATAAGAAGTCATATGTGTTATAATGTTTCATCATATAATAGTTGATGGGATGTATTGGAACTTACTTTTTAGCTATTTCTAAGGGCTTACCAATGACAGTGATGACTAAACTAGAATATGAAATACTTGGATCAAGAGAAGAAAAATAGGAGTCCATGATATCGTAAAAATATATCATATATATGTGTGTGTGTGTGTGTGTGTGTGTGTGTGTGTGTGTGTATGGGGTCACACTGCCATGTCCACACTCATCGTCCACCTGATGAGCACTGTGACCTTGGACAGGTGTGCCTGACTTTCCCTTCCCCTCAGCTTCCTGGTGTGTGAGGAGGAGCAGCTGCCTGCTGAGGAGCTGTGAGGGCCCACAGACCAGGGCTGAGAACAGGACTCGGCCCACATTGATGATGTACATTAGCTCTTTCGATCACTTCATCCTCTAAGCTAGTCATTGGGTTGAAGGTTTATTTGTTTATAAAAGGAAAGGTTACTAATTGCTTTTATTCATTTCTTCTACTTTCAGATCCATGTGTAATATCAGAAGAAATTATGAATGAAAAGAACATACAGTTAAAAGGGAAAGATAACAAACGCTATTATGTAAAAACAGGAGATATCATTGAATTTATATGCAAATTGGGACTCAAGGCGGTGACTTCAAAAGAGTCATTTCAAGCCATGTGTCAGGAAGGGGCAGTGGAGTTCCCCAGATGTGAATGAGGAAGCCCTGTGGCTTCAAATATGTGGCCAGTCCCACCCACCGCCACTCTTTGCTCAAAGCTTGCCAGACTTCTGGCATTTCCTGCTCTTTTCCACTATATTTCAAAGGACATAAAGGCAATATGTTAGCCTCCTTTTCAACTTAATCGTCTCCCAAAGATGTTATCACAAAGTATATCATCACTTACACTTGTACCAAGACAATAATTCTTCACCGTCGTGGGATTAGACTACTTGCCAATAGAGCAATAAACTTCAATGGAGGTAACGGTGTGGCTTTCTGCCTATTGAATCGGATGTTTAACCGTCAAACAAAACACGTGAGCTTAGAATGTACTGGGGGAAATAGTACAATCAAAAATTATTCATTAAAATTGTCCTTTCTGGTGTGGTTCAGTGGTCAGAGCTTTGGCCCAAGGACCAAAAGGTCTGGGGTTCAGTTCCTGGTCAAGGGTGTGTACCTGGGTTGCAGGTACTATCCCCATCCCAGTCAAGACTTGTACAGGACACAAGCAATCAATGTCTCTCTCTCTCTCTCTCTCTCTCTCTCTCTCTCTCTCTCTCTCTCCCTCTCTCTGTCTCCTCTTCCTTCCCTCCCTTCCACTCTCTCTGAAAATCAATGGAAAAAAATATCCTCAGGTGAGGATTAACAACTATGCCTATATAGATAATATACATTCAAATAATAAGTGGAAATAACCTCATTACTACATCCTCTTACTAGAGTCAGAGGTGAATCGCGGACTGAAGAAGGATTGTTGTGAGGAAGAAGGGCAGTTTTCATCCTCTTTCCATCTGGGGGGGGTTTGAACTGTTTGACAGAGTTGAAACTTGGCTCTTCTATTTGACAAAAATAATCAGTTATTTTAATGTTGCAAATCTTAAAATATCTGGTCCATGAACAATTTCCCTGATGCTAAGTCGATAGAGCAACTGAATTTTTATTTTCTCATAACCTATTCTGAAAGCACATAAAACCAATTAAAGTCCCGTCCAATGGAAGCTCTGTGATAACTAGTCTCCAATTTGAATTTGAGCAGAAGCTTATTAGCCAAACTAGTTCTCAAATAGGGCTAGACTTTATGCTTCCCATTTTCTCGGTGGCATGCCTCCGAATATGTTGTTCCCTCAAATGAAATGAGCCTCAGCCCAGCCAGTGTGTCTAGCTGGTTGGACATCATACCATGCACCAAGAGGACCATTTCTTCAGGGTCAGGGCACATGCCCTGGTAATGGGCTCATTCCCCAGTAGGGGACATGCAGGAGGCAGCAGATAGATGTTTCTCTCTCATCATGGATGTTTCTATCTCTCTCTCCCTCTGTCTCTGAGTCTCTCTAAAAACAAGCCATATGAAAAACATTGAATGCCAAGAATGTGCGGAATTCTTGGTCTTGGTGGTGTGGTCTCTTGTGAGTTTACAAAAAAATCAGTGCTGTCCTACAGACAGGACCATACACTGTGTGGATACACTGGGTGGTGACCATAGACCCCTAGGACTGCAGTCGGGTGAGACCAAAGAGAGAACAAAAGTCACAGGGACATGCAGTCCGAGCTATTCCCATGCGAATCTCCTGGTTGAGAAAGAACCTCACCCATTTTAAAT